TTCCAAATCATAGTTTACAAATCAATTATATTTCAATTATATACATGGGAGCCAGCTATAAACTTCTAATCGATTCAATGCTTCCCGAATTTGGCTCAAAATGATTGCCCTAAAAAAACTTATTTATTTTTTTAATAAAAAAAATCATATATCCATCGGCTATCCTACTTTTCTCAAGTAGGTGGGCAATGTATAGATTCTTTTCAAACGTGTTGCGCACAGTTATTTAGCTTGCTCAAAGCGTCTGCCTCAGTAGCTCACGTAAAGCAAATCATATAATTCTTTGCAACCTCAAAAGCTGTCCTAAAAGAAACATAATAGTAGCTCCGATTCTTGATAGGAATGCTAGATAACTAATTTGAAGATATTAAAAAAATCAATTAAATTAGTTATATATTATAAATGTGTGTAGCCTTCTTTAAACTACCATATTTAATCATATTCATTGAAACTACCTTTTAGTGGAAACTCCCTTGATCTGTACAATTAATGGAGATATATACTTTGAGGAAAAAAATTATAAATTTAAGAGATAAAGTATATTGAGATCTTATATTTTATGCTAAATCCATTTCTCAACTAGCTTCTATATTAAGAACACAAGACAGTATATATAAACATATTTATAAGACTTCACTTTTCACAATATAATCTCTTGTGGTTCTTCTCCTTTTTCATCATAGGTGAGATGATACCGCCTTTGTTTGATCTTGTGATGGTGGAAATGGTGTTGATCATGACGATGTCATTTGGTAGTTCGATTAGGAAAGTGGTGGTGAGGGGGCTTGACTTATTGAAGCAGCGAAGAGGGCCGTTGGTCACCAAGACAGTGGCAGCCGCCATGCTTGCGGTGTTTGGCTGGAGGCTTTATACGTTAACCAACATTATATTCAAGAGCTCGTTAGCAAAACTGTTGTTCTTAGCCATACCAATGAAGTTCTCAAAGCTCAACTTCTCTTGGAAGCTTTTCTCATGGGTAAACAAATTTGTTTGTTTGTTTTTCTCCCCACATAACAATATTTCTCCGGTTTTAAATATAAGAATTAGATTAGTAATATATACAAATTAAGAAATTAATTTAGTTGTTTAAAAAATATGTTTGTTGATTTTTTAAGTATTTTTTTAATTATTTGCATTAAAACTACCACCTAATGGAACATCTTAATATGTATAATTAACAAAGATAAATAAGAAGAAAATATAAATTTAAAAGATAATGTGAATTAATTTATCATATTTATGACCAAAATAGATCTCATAACTACCTCTTGTATATTAAGACTAGAAGGAGTATTATGGTTTATAACACTTTCATAGAGTAGTTCTTTAGAAATTTTGCATAATTAAAACTCGTCACAGGTTTGCATATTTTACTTTTCATTTCTGTGTAAACAATTTATCTTAAGTTTTAAAAATAACGTTCATGTTTATGCAATTTTGATATATAATTAAAATTCAAAAGAGAGTCAATATATAATTTAATTTTTTGTTTTTCGAAAAATATTCGATTTCAAAATTTTAAAAGAAACACACGCATGTACATCAAAAAAAATAGCCATAGGCGACTCTATAAATCACTCATACAAGATTTTTTTTTAATTTCAAAATTTAAAAAGTAAATCATACCCTTGTAAAAGACATGATTTATGATTAAATGGTCAAATTTATGATTATCATCCCTTCACTTATGTCGTATATATACATGAGCCATTGAACTTGCAAATATAAAAGGGCTATCAATTTTGCAGGGTTCTCCCTCTTCCTTGGATTGACGATTGAACGACTGCGTTACTATATAAATAAGGAAGATTACTTTATCCAAAAACATAAGGGAGATTACTGCTCTGTGAAGAAGCGTGAGATAATAGTATAATAAATGCCTGTGAGGAAAGTATAGTAAATGTGTGTCCTTGCAATTTTGTAAGATATACTTATTTTATCTTATAAAAATGATTATTTTATGATGTAAATTATGTTTCATGATTTTTATGATAAATATTAACATTGATAATAGTATAAAATCTGACATTCCATCACGTGTGCTTAAGAGGGAACAGGATTAATCTAGTGAGAGACCAAAAATAAAACAAATGAACTTCGTAATTTTTTGAGCCATACAAATGATCAAAACGATAAGCTGACACCAAACATTCCGTGCAATAAAATTAGAAAAATAAAAGTGATTATTGTACTTGAAACTTGAAAAGATACATAGAAGGAAAATATCTATATATAGTTATAATCTTACCCCATAAAAACTATAACATGTAAAAATATTTTATTACTTAATAATTTTAATAAACACCAGCAATCGAAATAATTAACTTTTCTGTAATGAATGATAATATTGATAAAAAAATATAAAAACTGTTATAAAACTAAAGAAATAGTAGAGAAGAAGAATATAGAACTAGAGTTGAGAAACAAAAGAGTTTATTTCTTATTCTGTGTACTATTTATAGGCAGAGTTTTATATCTTTAACAAAATCTATAGGTTATACAATAATGAGAGATAATTGTGAGATATAGAGATAATGTAAGATATTGGAGATAATAAAAAAGATATGAACATCCATACAGATATTATTATTATTACTATTCATAATAAACTATAAAAATCCACACTATTTACAAGCCATGATAATATTATACTACCTCTTATTCTAAATATAAAATTTATTTTATAATATAATTTACATTATAAAATAGGTTTTATATTTAAAACTAAAGGTACGTATTTTATACCAACTCTAGTTATAACAATAAATCAATTGTAACGAAAAGGATATTTTTAAAGTTTTTTCAACGACAACCAATATCACAGCAAGATATAATGAGAGAATTCATATGAATATATAAAAAATTTCAAGGTCAAATCTAAATGATATGAAAAAAAAAAATGAAATATGCAATACAGAAGGCCATGCTTTAAATAAAATATCCCAATATATGTGTGTATGTGAAATTACACATGACTTCCTTAAACTTTATAGCATTTACAAAAACCTTCTTAGACTCTAAAACTTCACAACAAATTACCCCGAATTCTTATATTTATCTTTTGTTATGAAACAATAGTGACGCATTAGTTAATTAAGAAATTAGTAACAAAGGGACTTCCCCATCAAAGTTTATATATATTTATATATATATATATATATAACTCTCATACTAATAATTTTTTTCATTATTTATCTCTGGATGTGTGTGTATTATGAAATTTAGAAAGCTTATGTGCATACAACTCAAAATTTGAAGAGGTTATAAACACACAGAAGTATAATATAAAAAGGTATATAATTGATGATTGGGATTTATTCATGAAAGTTTAGGTGAATTCATTACTGAGTTTTTAAAAGTTAATGAAATTAATTGTAAATTGTTTAAAATTCTAGGAATTTTTGTATAATTTAACTTATACTCCTCCGATCCTTAATATAGGATCCAATTGTTAAGTTGGTTTTAGTCTTAAATATAAGACCCATTTATCATATTTATCAATTTTCTCTAAATTATTCCTATGGAAACTTCCTCAATCATAATCAAGTAGAAAATGGGGTATTAAGAAAGATGATTATGATGTTTTAGAAAAAATATGTCACATTTTTTATAATTAACTAACATACCTAGCTTTTTTAATCTAATTAAATTAGTTAAATGAGTTTTATATTAAAGATAAGAGGAGTGGTTTATATAAAACTCCAAAACCTAACTACATAGTACATGATGTACAACTACCCAAGCCTGACCTATCTTATTTCACCCTTCCAACCTTGTTCCACTGGCTAGAACCTTAGACCATGAGGTCAAAAGTATCGAGCTCACAACAAATTAAAGTTCCCTCCTTTAGAACAGAATTGACCAGGCGTTCAATATGTCCCACTAATTAATTCAGCTAAGAAGCAAATTTGCTCCATTTTCACTTAGGATTTTAAATTTTTGAAGTATATTTACATTAAAAAAAAGAGTTTTCGAGTGCCCAATACTTTTGAACAAAAATTTTCGGACAAATTTTTATCTTCTCCCCTCGGAGGGACACATCGTAGGTGGGACCCTGAGAACTGATAGCGTCGAGTAGCAGCATAGCGCCTAATCATTTCAAGCCTTCAATTGGACGACACGTACAGTGCCCATAAAATAGTTTTAATCTGCACCAGTTTATTCGAAACCCGTGATTTACAAAATATACGACAAGATAAGCCTTCAATAGGGCAACAAAAAGCCTCAGGACATTTCCAACAGTTTCAGTTTTTTCAGACACAAGATTTACACAAGCATTACTCAAGTCATAAAAAGGTTGGTCCCAAAACAATGAATCATTTCCGAATCATAGTTTATGGATCAATTATACTACCTCTCGTTTATAAATCATAGTTTATGAATCAATTATACTATCTTCAGTCTTAATTATAAGAGTTAGTTGACTAATTTGAGGAGATTAAAGAAATAAGTTAAGTTAATTATTTGTAATAAATAAATGTTATTTTTTCTAAAATATCTTTACTAATCAAGTGTATTGACTAGAACTATCATTAGTGAAAGGATTATCTTGAAAAAAAAATATAAATTTGAGAGACAAAGTGGACGTGGGTCTTATATTTATAATAAAAATAAAAGTCAAACAAAGTCTTATATTAAGGACCGGAGGTGGTATTTTAATTATATGGGGGCGAACTATAAATTCTTAATCAATTCAATGGTTCACATATTTGGCTAAAAAATACCCTTTTTTAATAAATAAAAAAAAGCCGTAGTATATCCATCGGGTATCCTCCGTCCCTTGATTAGGTGGGCAACAACATATAGATTCTTTCCAAATGTGTTGCAGTTACTCATTCCCCAGAATTTTTGCCTCACTGGCTCAAGTAAAGCAAAGCATATAATTCTTTGTCAACTTCAAAAGTAGGCACCAAAAAAAAAAACATAATATATATAAACATATTGAGAAGACTTTCCCCTCACAATCTCTCGTCGTCCTTCTGCTTCTTCATCATACATTGTAACTGACACAGTACAGTTGAAGGACATTCTGGCGCAAGAGAGAAGATGATACAGCCTTTGTTTGGTCTTGTGATGGTGGAAATGGCGTTGGTCATGACGATGTCGTTTGGGAGTCCGATAAGGAAACTGGTGGTGAAAGGGCTTGACTTATTGAAGCAGGGAAGAGGGCGGCTGGTCTCCAAGACGGTGGCGGCCACCATGCTTGTGGTGTTTGGCTCAACACTTTATACGTTAACCAACATTCAAAAGCGCGTTCACGAGACCGGCGTTCTTGGCCATACCGATGAAGTTCTCATCGCGCAGCGTCTCTTGGAAGCTTCTCTTATGGGTAAATACAAACTCGCCTTTTGTTTGAATGATTTTTATAAACTTAGGTGGAGTTCTATAGACAATTGAAATAAATACATGTTTGTGTAGATCAATGAAAGCTCGGGAGAGATTTAATTTAATTTTTATGTTTTAATTCACTTTTCATTTTCTTAGTGAACTTTTTTTTTAATTTAACGTTTAAAAACAACATGGATGTTTATGTAATTTTGACCTAATCAAAATTCAAAAGAGAATCAATAGAATTTACTTTTACGTTTTCAGGAAAAATTGTGTAAGTTTTAATAATTTAGAAAGAATTCATATACTCCAAAAAACAGCCAAAGACAACATAAATTACTCCTGCACAATTTTTAAATTTCAAAATTACAAAAGAAATTCATACGCTTCAAATGAAATGAACTTGATTTCTCTTAACCATGCTTTGTAAAAATATATTTGTATATCGTGAAATTTTTATCGCAACCTAACAATACTCAAATATGAATTAGTTCATACTGTGGCATTAGCTCGTCAAATGGTCAAATTTATGATTTTCATTCCTTCATATATGTCATATATTATATATACATCAGCCTATTGAGGTTGCAAATATAAGGGCATAATCAATTTTGCAGGGTTCTGTCTATTCCTTGGGTTGGTGATAGACCGACTGCATTACTATATAAGGGAGATTACTGCTCTGAGGAGAAGTTTTGAACTACAAAATATGAACCACAATCATGAACAATCCAAGCGCAGAAGGTGAGAAGAAACAAGGAAGTCGAAGGTTAAGTAGTAACTGGAAAAAAGGCAAAATTAATTATCTAATTCCAAATTGCATCACACACACACACACACACACACACACACACACACACACACACAGACACACACACCTTACTGCAAGTTTGTTAATTATTACTACATGAATAAAAGAGTGATGTTGCACCATGAAGTTCGCTTATTTTAGCTGTTATTTCACCGTTAAAGAAACGTAGTAAATATGTGTCCTTGCAATTGGGTAAGATATGATTATTTTATGATGTGAACTGTGTTTCATGATTCTTTGATAAAAATAGTTAAAGTAATTTGGAAGATACTTAGCTCAATAGTCAAGTTTCATATATTCATTATGTTAAGTTCTCCAATCATATATAGACATGCGTCTTTTCTTTTTTAATATGAGTTTACGATTAAATTATCATATTTAAAAAATAAGTCACGCATTTATGTGTGATTGGAAAACTTAACAAATAAATATAAGAAACTTGATGTTAGTATTATCCTATTGATTAATATTAATAATAATATAAAAAGTAAAATACATCGACTTTCCTTCTATCTAACCTAAATTATAAAGACCTCCTTTTATTTTGAAAACATACATGGACCTTCTTTAAAATCAAAATGTATATTACACAAACCTTTCTTCTAGTTTTGAAATTCAACCATTAGTTGATTGTTAAATTATGACATTGACCCGTTATTTTAACCAAATTGCTTCTGTTTAACACAAATATTATTTAATAATTTTTAATATACATTAATGTTTTTGGTTATACTATTAAATCGATTACATATTACAAATTTAATCAATTTTATAAATATAAATTTTTTAATAAGTTTAAATTTTTAATCTTGTTTATTTATTAAAACTTACTCCTCCGGTCCTTAATACAAGACCCATTTAACTAATTTGATAAGATTAAGGAAGTTAGGTAAGTTAGTTAATTATAAGAAAAGTGACATATTGTTCCTAAAATACCATAATCATCTTTCTTAATACTTCTTCTTCTTCTTCTACTTGATTATAGTTGAGGGAGTATCCATAGGGGTAATTTGAAAAAAATTGATAAATATAATAAATGGGTCTTATATTTAGGATCAAAACTAACTCAAGAATTAAGTCCTATATTAAGGACCGGAGGAGTATGATGTAATCTTATATATATATGTATTGGCTGAAAATATTTTGCAATTGTATATATGTATTTTCAATTAAATTGTAAAGTTATAAAATGATAAAATCTTAATATTCTTATCTTAATATGTTATAAGTCACAAATTTTAAATATATTTCATAAAACATATTATTATTAAAAAAATAATTAAATTTTCAATCAAGTTGTTAATACTTTAAGTTACTTAAATTTTTGTCTAAATTTAGTAAAAACTATAAATAGATCATTAATAAATATTAATGTTAAAAGATAAATTAGAGATTTAGAATAATGAGGGGTAAATTAGTAAACAATATTTGTTCTAATGGATTTTTAATTAAAACAAATATATACTTCAAGAATCTTTTCACAATACTTTTTAACTGTGTTTATAGTTTGGACTAAAATATATATTTTTGAAATAGAGGAGATATCTATGTCATTAAGATAAAATAGAATAGTGATTAGAGTATTGCACTCTAATATAAAATATGACATTCAATCTTGTGTGCTTGAGGGGAGGACGATTAATGTAGTAGGAGGATAAATTTTAAAAAAAGAAAAGAAAAGAAAATTTAAACTTAGTAATGTTTTGATAATATTATTTCATTAAATTATAACATGTAAAAAAATTTATTTGATAATTACTTGATTTAATAATTTTAATAGTTATCATCAATTGAAAGAATTAGTTTTTAGAAATTTCCCGAAATGTTCTTTAGGGGGCTCCTCTAAGGTGTAGGCATGTTACATGTTGTTACATGTAACATGTTAAATTTTAATAACATGTTACACCGTCTAGGCAAGGCTGTGGCCGTCATCCCTCAATCAATGGGATTCTGAATTTCTATTTGAAATATCTTTAAATTCTCATTTGTCTTAATATCATGGGAGAATTTCACTGTAGAACCGCAGAAGACAATTACTATCAAAGAGCCCCCAAAACTTTCTGAAACCTCACTGCAGGACCAAGGGACCAATCTGATATTAATTTTTAGAGTGAGATTACAATAATACCCCTCCCTTTTTATTTTCTTAAAAAATAAATATTTACCGGAGTTACTGCCGTCGGGTCCGGTCACCGGTGGCCGGAATAGTAACTCCGGCGGGACCTCCGGTGGCCGGAGTTTTTTTTGTTTAAAACAAAGTGGCCAAGGGAGGGTTTGAACCCAGGACCCTATGGCACACCAAAAAACTTGTAACCACCAAGCCAAGCAACCCATTCAATCATAAAATGCAAATAAAACTATATATAACAAAATAAACGCAACAGTCCAAATGTAAATGAACAAGTGAAATTAGACGATTTACAAGTGAAATTCAGAGATTTGCAACAAAAATTAGGCAATTTACAAATAATATAATAGAAGTCATAACCCAAAATGCAAGTATTTAAGTGCAAATGAGCAAGTAAAATTTGAAGATTTACAATAAAAGTTTATGGATTTACAACCCAAATTTGATAAACACAAGAGAATTCACAACCCAAAATGTCAGTGTTTGAATGTAAGTGAACAAGTGAAATTAGACGATTTACAAGTGTAATTCAGCAATTTACAACAAAAATTAGACAATTTACAAATAACATAATAGAAGTCATAACCCCAAATGCAAGTGTTTAAGTACAAATGAGCAAGTGAAATTTGAAAATTTACAATAAAAGTTTATGGATTTACAACCCAAATTTGGGAAACACAAGAGAATTCACAACCAAAATATAAGTGTTTGAGTGTAAGTGAACAAGTGAAATTAGACGATTTACAAGTGTAATTCAGCAATTTACAACAAAAATTAGACAATTTACAAATAACATAATAGAAGTCATAACCCCAAATGCAAGTATTTAAGTGCAAATGAGCAAGTGAAATTTGAAGATTTACAATAAAAGTTTATGGATTTACAACCCAAATTTGGTAAACACAAGAGAATTCACAACCCAAAATGTAAGTGTTTGAGTGTAAGTGAACAAGTGAAATTAGACGATTTACAAGTGGAATTCAGAAATTTACAACAAAAATTAGGCAATTTACAAATAACATAATAGAAGTCATAACCCCAAATGCAAGTGTTTAAGTGCAAATGAGCAAGTGAAATTGTCGAATTTCACTTACAAATCTATAAACTTTTGTTGTAAATCTTCAAATTTTATTTGCTCATTTACACTTAAACACTTGTATTTGGGATTGTGAGTTCCATTATGTTATTTGTAAATTGCCTAATTTTTGTTGTAAATTGTTGAATTCCACTTGTAAATCATCTAATTTCACTTGTTCACTTACACTCAAACACTTACATTTTAGGTTGTGAATTCTCTTGTGTTTACCAAATTTGGGTTGTAAATCCATAAACTTTTATTGTAAATCTTCAAATTTTACTTGCTCATTTGCACTTAAATACTTGCATTTTGGGTTATGACTTCTATAATGTTATTTGTAAATTGCCTAATTTTTGTTACAAATTTCTGAATTCCACTTGTAAATCGTCTAATTTCACTTGTTCACTTACATTTGGACTATTGCGTTTATTTTGTTATATATAGTTTTATTTGCATTTTATGATTGAATGGGTTGCTTGGCTTGGTGGTTACAAGTCTTTTGGTGTGTCAAGGGGTCCTGGGTTCAAACCCTCCCTTGGCCACTTTGTTTTAAACAAAAAAAACTCCGGCCACCAGAGGTCCCGCCGGAGTTACTGTTCCGGCCACCGGTGACCGGACCCCGACGGCGGCCACCTGAGCGCCGGTGGCCGGACCTCCGACCTCCGGTGGCCGGAACAGTAACTCCGGTAAATATTTATTTTTTAATAAAATAAAAAGGGAGGGGTATTATTGTAATCTCATTCTAAAATGAGGGGCAGTGGCGTCATTTCGTTTGCGGAATTAACATCAGATTGGTCCCTTGGTCCTACAGTGAGGTTTCAGAAAGTTTTGGGGGCTCTTTGATATTAATTGTCTTATGCGGTCCTACAGTGAAATTCTCCCTAATATCATTGCTGATTTCCTCAAGCTTGCCTCTGTACTCGAATAAGATTACCTCTAATAGAAGGATATCTATGCTTAGCAATATACTCCTTTGCTCCTGTTTATAAGGCAGGGAAAAAAAGAAAATTTTGGTCCTATTTATAGGACAGAGTGAGAAAATTTTCATATGAATATATAATTTTACCTTTTATTTAATATTGTGTTCACTTTTCTCTTATAAGGTATAATATTATTAAATAGAAATAAAATACTACATCCAGTTCTTGATATATGACCTTGTTTAACTTTTATTTTAGTTCTAAATATAAGATCCCAATCTATTTTGTCTCTCATATTTATGTATTTTTTTCTCAAAGTAACCCTTCTAATAATAATAGCTCTAACTAATACAATTGATTAGTAAAGATATTTTAGGAAAGACAACACTTATTTATTGCAAATAACTAACTTAACTTATTTTCTTATTCTCTTCAAATTAGTTAACTAGCTCTTCTAATTAGGACCAGAGGTAGTAAGAAAGTTAAATTTTAAGTGAGAGTTAATAAAATTTAACGTTTTTCTTGATTTATGTAAAACTTGTTGAAAATTATTTATAAATAGGATCAAAGGAGTGTGTGTATAATTTTTCGAAGTAAAAAAAATAAACGAATGAATGTAACCTTTTCAAGAAGCAATCGGATGGATGGAGTTAAATATGTTCCAACTTTCAAAGTAGATAAAGCTGTGAAACCCTTACAAGTTATAACAAAAAAGGCGAAACGGGGCATTTGGATGAAAATAAAAAAATAATTTTAAAATTAATTTTACGGTATATAAAATAAATATATAAAAAAATTTTATTTTGACTTGTGTGAAAATACTTTTTAAAATTATTTTTTGATGATACCCTTCTGACCCTTAATATAGGATCCAATTCTTGAGTTGGTTTTGGTCCTAAATATAAGACTCATTTATCATATTGATCAATTTTCTCTAAATTACCCCTATGGATACTCTATCAACCATAATCAAATAGAAGAGGGAGAGGAGGTATTAAGAAAGATGATTATGGTGTTTTAGAAAAAATGTGTCAATTTTCTTATAATTAACTAACTTATCTAACTTCTTTAATCTAATCAAATTAGTTAAATGTGTCTTATATTAAAGGCCGGAGGAGTATCAAATACCTAATAAATTGGCAAGCTATTACCAGCCCAATATACATGTGCGAGCACACGAAATACGCACAACTTCCTTAGATTTATGTATCAAAGGTCTTCTTAAGCTTTAAAATTTTACCTTTAAATTCTTAAATTTTACAAACGAGATCTTATAATTAGAATCGGAAGTATCATTTATATAGATAACTCTTTTACTAAGAATTTTGTTCATTACTTATTTACATGTACATATACTCCTTCCAGTCCATAATATTAGTTATTTTAATCAACTCATTCTAATCAAAAAATACAGTTAACTCATTAAATTTGTCTTAAATTGAAAATTTTTTTCCCCTGAATTTACCCATATTAAATGAGGCTGTTTACAAGGAATTACATTTAAACATTAATTACAGGGACAAAATTAATAAACAAGCATTAATTACTTTCTAAGTTACTTATATAAGTAAATTATATTGGATTCGATTGGATTGGCAGCAGAAAGTTAACTTATTTTTAATTTGACTTTTAGAAAAGTGAGATTAGATAATATGATTTGTGTTTGGATTAACTTTTATAAAAGTTTGTATATAAAGTAAAAAAATTGTTTGAATTATGATTGAATAAGCTTAGTTTGTAGAACAATAAAAATGAGTATTACTTTTATTAAATAATAAAAAATGATTAAAATTATGAATTTACAAAATATAATAATGTTAAATTATAATAGGAGGAAAAAGTTACATTTAATGAATAAAATATATTTAAATTAGAAGTCATAGTAATGTGAAATTTTTTTAATCAAATAAAAATACATAATTAATTGGATGATATACTCTACATAATTTATATAAATATAAAATAAAAAATAATATTAAAAATTAAAAATATTATAAAAACTGTTAAAAATTATTTTTATTTAAGAAAATGTTAAAAATAAATAATTAAAAACTGGAAAGCACAAGAAATATATAGAGAGAAACATAAGAATAACATAAACATCAGAACAAAAATATCTTTTAATTTCAAAAAGCTGTTTTTGCATAAGTTATAAGTTTTATATGCTTTTACGATCGTGTTAAAAAAAAAAAAGCTTTTGACTGATAAATTAGATAGACCAAAAGCTATGACAAATAGCTCTCAAATTTGTAAACTGACCTATTACTTTTTCTCCCCCAAATACGTCTTACCAAACAGGCACATTGTGAACCACTAGGAAGCTCAAATGCGTGACTCAAGATAAACACACGAACATAATTTAAAAGGTATATAATTAATGATTGGGATTTATTCTTGAAAGCTTGGATGATTCATTAGTAAGTTTTTAAAAGTTAATGAGATTATTTGCACATTATTTAGAGTTCTGAAGAGTTTTGTGTATTTTAGCTTATAATTCATGCAAAACTCCGCTTCATAAACCATAGGCATTGCGTCTACTTTCTCGAGTTCCATATAGCATCGGACATATATGTAATTTTATATATTTCTCGGGTGACACTTGCATTTTATACCATCTCAATGGCAACCAAAGCTGACACTGTTAAATGCGATATCATGTGATTTGACTTCTGCGGTTCTTAATATAAAAACTAAATAACTAATTTATAAATATTAAAAAAATTAATTAAATTAGTTATTTTTATTAAATAAGTATTGTTTTTATTAAAATATCTTTATTAATCATGTATATTGAAACTATTGTTGCAATCACCATGAAAATTACTTGAAAACAAAATAGATAGGTATTTAAGACAAAATGAAATGATGTCTTGTATTTAAGATCAAATTAAATATCTAAATAGCTCTTATATTTATGACTGGAAGTAATATTCGTTAACATACAATTCAACATGGCTCAGCAAATAAATAAGTAGCATTAACCATTATGATTCAGTTTTTCATACGCCAAAGAACTTGCGTAACACATTATCATGCCACCACACTAAAAATATTTAATTAAATACATAAGATGCAATTGACCAATACAGGCTTAAAACCACCCCTTTCCCATCGTTTTCGATACAGGTTCCCTTCTAGGCTCACATGATAATATATACACAGCAGCTTACAAGTCACACAAATAAAACACAGAGATCGGCTTCGTATTTGCTATGAAAGTAATATGACCAGTTTTCTCAGTGGTAACAACATAAAGACTAGATAAAGAGGTCATGCAGACGTGTTTCCCTGTGTTATTATCTATAATTCATACAAAAGGAACTCTCTTGCATGATAATAAGAACTGCCAAAAAACCGAGATGCGTAAAAGACGCACTTACGCTGCTTCCGCAAACCCAATTCTCAGATTTCCATGGTCAAATACTGTGTGGTATGTACCCATAAATACATCACCCAGGATCCTGAATAGCATAATAGAACAATCATTAGCCAAGGACTTTGCACTCGTCAATGGTAATTATGTTAATAACTCAATATTGAAATACTAACAAGGGAACCAATTCTAGGGCACATACCAAAGAGGTCCCCGTGGGGGAGGAACATCCATGGCTATAAATCCACTAACGCACTGAGCTATGTCTCCTTCACCAACTTTGAGGAGATACTGATTTTCAGAGATTAACAAATCCAAAATGAGAGGAGATATTTTGCCGAAGTCTTGGGAAATCCATATGCCATATTCAAAGCATATTACTATTATCAGGGAAATCACAACATGCATGCTTGAGAAATTGTGTTAGCAGCGAGAGACTTGGTAGAAGGACCTAAATAACAAATAAAACTAAGGCACACTTTGACTAAACCCTTCAAATAGATCTCCTAACATGTTATGCCTCCTAGTCCTACGGCCACACCCGACTACACCTATCCAATGTAAAGTATTCTTAGATGGTATTTTTTTGGGCCAAAATTATTGGAGGGTGTAAAATCAGGCCTTGGATTCTCTCCACTACCCTTCCCATCCTCTTCCCCTCCACTACCGTCCTTTTTTACCCTTCAAAATCATTAGATCAAAATTTCAAGGGTCCAGATTTAACATCTTATAAAAATAATGTTATTAAAAAAAAAATTTTAACTGTTAAAATTTGGTCTGAACAGTTCACAACTGTAATAAACCTTGAAGTTTTGATCCAATGGTTGTGAAGGAAAAAGGAGGGTGGTGGAGGGGAAGAGGATGGGAAGGACAGTGGAGAGAATCCAAGTCACATCAAGCCTTACGGCCATAGCATGCCTCCACACAAGTAAGCCAGTCCATTTGTGTTCATTTTGGCTTCTCTTTCAGAAAGAGGGAGGCCAATGTCTGGCCTTTCATTTGCAGAGTTCCCCCTCCCTAACGCTAACATCAGAGAAACCAAGGTTCTAAGCCACCGTTTTCAGCAAAAAGAAATTTTACAGAACAGAATTGGAGATTGCTGCACTTATTTATACCTGCTCAGGAGTGAGTTCAAATGTCTTCCCACCAATTGTAAAAGAAACATTGGGCATTGATGCCAAACTGTTGCAGTCAACTGACGATTCACCCATTGGACTAGGAAGACGTTCACAAAGCTACAATTACAGAAAACAGTTAGGACAAGATCAAACATATAGTCTATGTGATGTTCACAAGAACTAGGTGGAATAGTCAATCACCTCATTAACATAGTTAAGTATACGCTCCTGGGTTTGGTTCTCCCTAAGCTGGTTTTGCATCCACACCACTGCCATCTCACAAGTGGAGCACATGGCATCATGCAAACCACCATGGCTCCTTCCAGCACTCTCATCAACAACACTCTCAATGCCCATGCTGATTACAAACAAAGAAAATAGATGTTGTTAAAAAGATAAATATGAACAACTTGTGCCTCTGGAAAACTAAATGGGTTGGAGAAAAATCTAGGGGAATTACATAATTCAAACTTTGGCACATGGGGAAAGTAGGTACAAGGAATGGTATTGACAAATCGTTGATGAAGAGTGGGAGAAGAATGTCATGGGAGTTAAAAGGATTGAGGATAGAATCATATCTCTAAGGAGTTGATAGGTTCACACTTGAGAAGGAGTGAGACAGTATATATGTACTGCAATTTTGATAAAAGGCAGGTTACAAGTAATTTAAATGTTAAAGTAGGAGATCAAATCATTTTACAAATGACAAAGTTCAACTATTAGAGGTTAATTATACAAAAGAATAGTGTAATTTATAGAGATGTTACACATAAAATACAAGCAGTTGGTTCAAAATTTGAATTAATTGTGACCAGCAAGTACCAAGTAAGGTTAAAGGGAAGTTTTATCAAACAATTATAAAACCAATAATGGTAGTCAATATTAGGCTTTAAAAGGATGATGAGAGCATAAAGTTGAGGTAATAGAGATGAGGATATCAAGACAGATGTCATCATACAATAAAAGATAAGATTTGTAATTAACATGTACAAAGAAGAGTTGGCATGGCATTTGTTTAAGAAAATATGATAGAATATCATTTGAGGCAGTTTATACGAGAGATGCTAGTCAATGAAATTATTGAATGGGACCTTTTAGTTAATGATATATCCAAAGATTTGGTTATTGACATAGCAAAATAATATCGTGAGATCCATGTAATTGAGTCCACTTAATGGGATAAGACTTCTTGTTGTTAATGATGATGATGAATGATGTCATTCAATTCCAAAATACTAAGAAAGAATGAATCCAACCTTACACCTCGCGCACCATCAAAAGTGCATAAACCAATTTGTGAGCATATTTTCTCTGGTTGATCCTGCTTTTTTGAAATGGATGTGAGTCTAGCAACTTAGATATGAAGAATCATTAACTGGCATAAACATCATGTGTTGACCATGGACACTAATTAAACAGTAGATGTCAAAAACCACCGACACTAATGGAAATAGTAGATGTCAAAAACCACCGACACTAATGGAAATAGTAGGTGTCAGAAGCCAAGTATCCACCTTGGCAAGAATCCTCTCTATTATAGTTTCTCCATATTGCGAAACTAAGGCCTTGCACTCCTGACTCACAACTCCTGCGGCCCCAATTGCATGATTAACTTCAGTAATAATAGCCTGCAACATTGAGCTAACATTATACAACATGACCAAGACTCGTAAAAATTATATGTAGTGGCAAATGAATGCTTTTTATCCGTGTCACCATCAAATGAATCCTCAGCATGACTTGGGGCATTCAAAACTAAGCAATAAAATATCATGTTCCAGGCTAACTTTCTCTTGCACAATACACACACACAAAAGGTGAGAGAGAGATAGAGACCGTAGGACCAGCCAACAAAGAGGTTCCAGAATCAGCAATCGCTGAACAGCCACCAGCACAAAATCCTGAGCAAGGAACATAACAGTGTTTTATCTGATAAAAGGTTCTTAGAGAAAGATATGGTCTCATCTGCATAAGAAAAGTGAATGGATTGCAACTCTCTGGTTTTCTTACCTGTTGATTTACCACCAATTAATACATCACCCATATCAAACTGCCAAAAAGATCAAAAGGGAAATGGATTTAGAAGATGAAGATGACTGGAATAGCCATGAAATGACATATCCAGAATGGACGACAAATACACAACCTGCCAATACCCCTTTCTAGTCACTGGTACATATGTGTGCTCCCCCTTATAATGATTAGGGTCCTTTCCACCAAAAACAATTTCACCTCCTTCTTCTTCATCAGCATTACGGTTAAGCCAAAAAGAGAACACAGGTTCATTTACAAGACCTTGGTTAACCATGTTATACCTGGAGAAGATCTAGTTAGAAACCTCAAACTGAAATATGTAACCTAACCAGCTTACAAGCATCATCAACCCCGTGAATCACAGTGATTATAATAAACACAGAACATCTTCACAAACACCAGATTATTACTTTAATACCGAATAATCATACCAGAGAGGTACTGCATTTCCCACAGATATCTCTTGAAATCCAAGTCCAAGTATGCCATCAAACTTAGCAACTAGAAATGTGACACTAGGCTCCCTTGTTGCCTCAATAAACTCCTGAAAAGTAGCCCAGCAGAAAAATGAAACACCAAGAATTCTAGCACTTAGGCAGGTATGTTATGTACCCAACAATTTAACATCAATACCTGATCCTCCACCACTAGGTCACCAAGTTTCACATGATCTTCACTAAAGAACCCAGAAATAGCACCAGTTCCGTAACGTATGTCAGCAGGTTTACCTACAAGATACCAATGTATCTTCTGTTACAAGGAACTTAGACATCAAGCGTAACGTTAAACAATCATAATCATATTTTTGGAAACATATATACTCAGGGAGTAACAATATAAAATCATGGTGAACCCAGTACAAATTGATAACGGCCACAGTTTCAGAAGCACACGCTAATTGGAATTGATATCAAGTTTTTTAAGGCATGAATTAATTAATTAAAAAATACTATATAAATTCAAATAAAAAATAATGAAGACTCAGAAACATACCATTCTTCTTATAGGTACTTGAACGCCCTGACTTGTACTTAGAATGAAAATAGCAAGCAACCTGCAGCATGATACAATGAAACCATTCTGTTCAAAATTGTATAACATAGGATAGTTAAGTATTTAGATGAATATCGTTGATACAATAGGACCTTACCGAAAAATAACATTTAGATGAAGGAACCCATAAATTGGAACTCCCCGTGTCAAATATTACTTTGAACTTCTGTGGAGGACTGCCAATGCCAATCTCACCAAAATATTGAGCATCCAGATAATTCTTAAGGGGCACAATATCAGAATCTTCTCTGTAACCTGATTTCCCACGAAGTTGATAATTCTTATCGCAACCTCTCAAAGACCGTCCATCCTTAGATTCTAGATGAGCAGCAATTCGATTGTTCTGATCAAATTTCCACTTTTTCAGTCCAATTCTTACCAATCCATCACCTGAAGCACATAATATAGTAGGTAACACGCATAACAATACGAAGAGGCTGGCTACAACAGGTCCACTCCTAGTTTCCATGTTATTCCTGCGTATTTTCACAACGATTTCATCAAGAAAAATCCATAGAAAAGTTCAAACCGAACCCGTTAAGTAAATGATCATCATAAACTGAGACAACAGATCAGAAGAGAATAATTCATCGTCACTTCGATTTTCTACTCCCATCCAAGAAATAAAAAACAGTGGTCAACGAAGGAAAAGCACAACAAAACGAAATTACGAACCGAAATCAGAACTATAGCGATGCAATCACATAAGAAAGTGACGATTATCAAAAAGAAAAACGATCAGAAATAATTGCCAAAATTCATGTACCTCTAGTCCACCCTTCACAGTTCTGAGTGCGAAGTTGGAAGCGAACTGCTGTAAATGAGATATTCTTAATTTTATTTAGTGAACGGTCCGGTTCGTGCAGTTCGCTGGAAGTCCCCAAGGGACCGGTTTCTACATTTAAAATTAAAACTTAAAAAACAAATTAAATTACCATTACAATTCGTACAATGCTTGGCGGGGACAGTCCAAAGAAACGAATTTCTCAAGGACCCCAATTAGCAACGCCCAAAAAAATAAAACAGGACCCCAAACAGAAAACGACAGTGCAAATCAGATTTTTCGCCCCATGGTTCTTACGCTGTTACGCCCCCAAGTGCCTAATCTATCCGGTTGACATTCGGTTAATATATTCGTCCATAGCATGCTGGGTTAGATTAGGGGGCTGTTTGGATGTTATAAGAAGTGTTTTTTAAAAACATTTTTTTATAAATTAAAATAAACTCCTTTACATATTTACTTCGTATATCGTAAAATCATTTTTAAAACTATGATTTGGTTTCTATTTAAATACCCTCTAAAATATATTGAAAATGATCGACCTGATTGGGCTAGGATCACACTCTCATTATAAAGCTCAGACCCATTAATAAGACGAAATTATACATAATTTTCATAAACGTGAGGGTATGTACAGACAATTTGTTTAAGTTTTTACCGAATCCCCTAAACTCTATAAGTCCCTATTAGTAGTTTTGTTCCGTAAGTATTTGCATATATATGTGTGTGTTAAAATTGATTGTCCGTTTGTTACGAGAGAAATGAAAAGAAGGGGAAGGAGGGAAAATTTTGATAAACTTGATTTAAAAAATTGATGAAATAGTATTAAAAGTTTTTAATTAATTTTTATTACTCTTTTTTTTATATTTTTCTTTATTAAAATTTTATCACTCTATTTTTTTAATTTTTAAAATCGAGTTTATGAAAATTTTTCCTCCCCTCTTCTTCCCTCCATTTCCCACATACCAAACATAGGGTTATGGCCTGTTTGGTTTGAGGGAGGGTAGGAGGAGGGTGAAAAGAAATTTAATAATTTCTTATTTGGTTCAAAAGGAGGAAGGAGAGATGGTAATAATCATTTTATCATTTTATCCTTATATATCAATTTATATTTTTTATTGATATATTATATAAATTAATCTACATCTTAATTTAAATTATATAATTTAATGAAAATTCAGTCGTATCATGTTAATATGTGCATTAAAAAATTGGTACAGTAATTTTTATTCTAATTAATATAATAATATATTTGAAATAATCAAATTAACAAATTTTATATGCTCCAAAGAAATGAAATTTTATTCTCTTTAGGCTATGATTTTTTTCAGCTTTAAAATATATTTAATAAATAATGTATTTTGTAAAAAAATTAATTTTATAATATTATAATTTTTTATTTAAATAATTTTTTTATTTTTAATTAATTTTTATATAATATGTTTTTTAATTATAATAATTCATATTTTTCATTTTTTACGTAGGATAATATTTTTTTGTTTGAAATAAATATTATAATAATATATTTGATGGATAGTAGTGGAATATCAAAAAAATCATAAGTGTATATGATAGTCCAAAAATTTAGCTCATTTCCAAAAATCCCCAATTTATGGGGAGCTAAAATGGGGGTAAAGAAGGAAGGGGAGGAAACATTTTGGCTTCCCTCCCCTCTAAAATTTTTAACCAAATGAGAGGAGGGGCTCCCCACCTCTCCCTCCAACCAAACAAGCCTAGAGGTATTTATATCCATATAACTAAAAATTTGAGAGGATTATATATACTAAAAAATATTACCTCTAATCCTCAATATAAAAGTTAGTTGTAAATTTAATTTGGTCATAAATATAAAACTTTTAATTTATTTATCCCTAAAATTTGTCGATTTGGTCCCCATGTAATATTTTGGTAGTTACACATGTTAAAAAGTTTTCATTAAAAGATTAGTTTCAATGCACATGATTAATATGGATAGTTTAGGAAAAACAACATCTAATTAAAAATAACTGATTTTTTTAATATTTACAAATTTATTTAGCTCTTACATAAAGGACGGAAGGCAATATAACTTATGGGATATATAATTAATTGTTGGAGTTTATACATACAAAAAATGAAAGTTTAAGTAATTAAGTTAATTATCAAGTTTTAAAAGCCCAAGTGTTATTTATACATGTTTAAATTTCATGAGAGTTTAGCGTAATTTAACAGAGACTAAAATAAAAAAAAATTAGAATTACTTTAATACTTTTAATACTTAATTTTAAATCATATAGTTTGAAAATTATAATTATGTTAATCAATCTCCTTCAAACAATTTATATCTTTGGGGGAGAATTATGAAAGCGAAGATGCTATTGTTGGCCCAAAAAGAAAAAAGACATTTCTCCGTTGTTTGTACTAGAATGTGATAGCCCGTTAGCATTTCGAAACTTAAAAGCAAGACTGAAAACGAAAACAATTCATGTGTAACTAGTCCGCTTATTAAGCTTTTCTTTTCTTTTCTTTTCTTTTTTGAATAAAACCTGAAAACTTCAGTAGATCTAACAACGAAAACGAGTACAAACAAGAATTAAAAACCCATCCTTCATCAATGTCCTCCTCCTGATGGAGGGATGGAGGTTGATCCAAGGGCAAGAAATCCCCATCTATCTTGTGAGTCAACTTAGCTAGCCTATCCGTAATAGTAAGGTTAACTTGCCGCTTTCTATGAATATTAAATCTAGTCTCATCAATCACATCTTTAAAAAGAGTGGTCAATATCACAGCCTCTCAGGCACAGATTAATCGCCTCAATACAATCAGAGATTAAATTGATTTTCCTGAACACCTTGGCCCAATACAAATTCAGGCCATGTATGAATCCAATCAGTTCAGCAATTGTTAGTGGAATCACAGTCAGTTTACAGCTGAAACCACAAACCCATCTATCCTGTGTGTCTCGAATGAAACCACATCCGCTCTTCCTGCTTGGTAACATTGAACCATCTACTGCAACTTTGATATAGGGCCTGTTTGGTTGCTCCCCAAAACCATAGTTTGGAAGGCAAAACCATAGTTTGGGTGGGATGTCACCCAAACAGCGTCAATTTTGGAGAAATAATTTGAAACCATGATTTGGGCTAGAACCATGGTTTTGAAGCCCAAAACCATGGTTTTAAGAGAAGTGAATCCATTATACTTCTGGCTCAAATTAGAGAGTATGATTGTACCTATTAGAGTAGATCTCAACAATAATATGACTTTAACATCCCTCAATTATTTTTTATAAACAATATTTAATCTTATATCTTATAAATATATATACATATATTAATTGTTTATTAATTATATTATCTTATGTATTATTAATTATGTTGGTAAAAAAATATTATTAACAATTTTATTCCTTCAAATTAAAATATATAATAAAATCTATCTTTTATGTAATTATCATATTAACTTATGTCTTTTTTAGTAATTTGTATATATAAAAAGTGCTTCTGATAACAACTATCCAAATACTTTCACTTTTCAGAATTACTTTTTTCCAAAATCTATTCTTCACAAAATCTATTTTTTTCCGGAATCTATTTTCAGAAGCTATTCTCCAAACTATGGTTTGATTTCAACCAAAAACCCCATGGTCTTTTCTGTTACAGCCCCCTTCTCTGATGTTAGACATTCGCGCTTGAGTTGGTACAGCATTTTTTAGAAAATCCTGATCCCAACATGCCTTGGAAAAACTAGCTTTTGCACTGAGATCCATAACTGTGTTATCACCTCCAAACAGCTCGTCACATCGTGCGGTCCAGATATCCCAACAAATATAGCTTGTTAAGCATTTTAATTTGCTAGGTATTACACATACACATATATCAATTCCTTTTTTTTTTTGCAATTTTTATGATGCTATAATGTAATAAAACAAACTAAATTTTGAATGTTCATTAATTTATAATTTGAAATTTAGAAGGGAGAAACACCATCACTTCCTAATATAATTGGTGACGGATGATTGTTATTTGAATTGGGTAAAGGTCCCAGCACTCTCATTTTATTTTTTAATACATTCAACATGTAATTTTTTTATATTATGCATACAACACCTTGATCTTATTTTCCTAGTACATCTATCACCTCATTATTATTTTTTTGGTTACATTAAGCACCCTAATCTTTAGGGTGCATACTTAGGTCAATGCACCTGAGAAATAAGATTAGGATGCTAATTGTACTTTTACCCATTTGAATTTACTGATATGATTTTTTGAATTTATAATTGATTGATTCTATATTTAAGATTAGGGAAAATTAGGGATAAATCCCTTATTAAAACTTTAATTGGCAAATAGAATTTAAGATGGTTAATTACATAAGGAAAGATTAGTTGCAAATAAAAGACCATAAGTTGGATAAAGGGAAGATGGTTTGCATAGAACATTATTTGAATATAAGGAATTAGTTTGCATATAAAAAAGATGAGTTATATATAAAAAATTTCATTTGCACAAAGAGAAATTGAGTTGCATATTGCATAAATGAAGATTATTGCATATAAGGAAAAATAAATTGCATACAAAGGAAGTTAAATTACACACAATATAAGTTAAGTTGCACAAAGTCCTTAGGACCCATTTACCAATTAAATTTTCAATGAGGAATTTATCCCCAATTTCCCGTTAAGATTATAACAATATTTTGAAATTTTATATATATTTTTAACTTTCATTTCATTTTACCTTTAAAATCAACTTAGTAGTTGTTATCTAAATTTAAAATTCTAGAAATTAAAAAAAATTCCGTAGAGGATTTTGAATATTCCCCCATTTATTCAACAGCAAAATTCGCATTATATTGTGTTCAAACACACTACGCAGAGATTAATATAATGGGGTTCTAAGTCAATCATTAGTGAGACGTTAGTCACCCTGGGAGATTAATATGCAGTTTGAGAAGATGGATCTTCAGAGATTCCCTTGTTCTGTGGTTCTGGTTTTTCTTTCGAGTGTAGCTATGCTTTGTTATGGTAGTAGAACCAGTTCATTCATTAGAAAGATCGTGAATACTGTGGATATATATGCCACTTGATAACGAT